GACCACCCTGCTGTGTCTCAGGACTGGGGAGGGATGTGCTGAGTTCAGAATCACAGGACCTGGAGGATGTGGTAGAGAAGGACTTACTTTCCTTCCCTCTTGGCCAAGAAGGAAGCAGGGTCCAACAGGGTCTTGGACTTCCTTATTACGGAGAGATGGAAGCTGCCCCTGAATCTTCAAACACATATGTGTCAACCAGGTGGGTGGGAGAGGAGGCTGTAGAGCACATGGCTTCGTGTGCAGAAATTGGGCCTCTTGTCTGGAGCAGCTCCAGAAAGCTCTGTTGTTTTTCTTCACATAAAGAGGATGTAGGAAGGAGAGGGAATGTGATGGCCAGGGATTATATGGGAGAAGGTAGCTCAGGCAACTTGATTCTTAATGCTAAAATGGTCTCTAATCCTTGTTTCCTTTTTGGTATCGGATTTAAAAAAATGTAGGGCAGGGTTGGAATTGGCTGTTAATAATACCCAGGACAAATATATACTCTTAGAATTTTGGAAAGGAAATAACTTTGTAGGAAGAATTACAGCTGCAGCAGTTATTTATGTCTTTTGATACTTGTGGTACTTGGTTTGATTTTCTGATTATATCTCTGCCTTCCCCAATCAGAAGATGTCTTGAGCAAAATATTTTTCCAGTGCATTTAATTTTTAGTGTACACACACACACACACACACACACACACCCTCAGTAATAAAATAAGTTCAAATAAAGTCAGACAGAGAAAGCTGATGATATAGCTCAGGGGTAGAGCTCTTGCCTAGCATGCGCAAGGTCCTGAATTCAATTCCTAATACCACAAAAAGCAAATTAAAGACCAAGAACTATGCCATTTCTGCTTTCATAGTAGCAGAAATTAAAACAGACAAACCTCAAGGAATTATTGTATGGGTTAGTAGTTAACCTGGAGAATCATACAGTACTGGTGAGAGTGTGTTATGTTTTTGGAAAATAATGTGGCAGTGTTTATCAGAAGCCCAGAACATTTAGACTTTTCATGCATTTATTCCATGCACAGAAAGCTCTCCTGACAGATCTGTGCAAAGAAGAACCCTGGGGACAAAGATGTTCACTGACACATTATCCAGAGCTTTTTTTGTATGCAGAAAGCTTGGGATATTGGAAGGTACAAATTGGCAACTGAAGATTAATTATAATATTACTTCACAAAAATTACATTGTGGGCCGGGCGCAGGGGCACACACCTGTAATCCCAGCAGCTTGGGAGGCTGAGGCAGTAGGATTGTGAGTTCAAGCCAACCTCAACATAAGCCAGGCACTAAGCAACTCAGTGAGATCCTGTCTCTAAATAAAATACAAAATAGGGCTGGGGATGTGGCTCAGTGGTTGAGTCCCCCTACATTCAGTCTCAAGTACCAAAACAAAATAAAACATTGTGGTATAACTTTTCTAATTGTCCTATGTATGTCTGCTTTTTTTTTTTTTTTTGGTTGTAGTTGGACACAGTACCTTTATTTTATTTATTTATTTTGATGTGGTGCTGAAGATCGAACCCAGGGTCTCGCATGCGCTAAGCAAGCGCTCTATCACTGAGCCACAACCCCAGCACCCACGCCGCCGTGTGTCTGCTTTTAAAGGAAATAGTTGGAGCCTGATTTTCCTCCTGTAGCCATAGAGTTTGCACATTTTCTCCCTCTGTTGTTCTTACCCAAGAAAACCCTAACCTTAACGGAAATGAAGTGCCTGTTCCTTTTTGATATGGACAGTAAGGCATTGTTGGGGAGGAAAAAGCAAACCTGCATAATTAAACTGACTGGTTTCACTTTAAATCATAATTACAAACCTGAAATTATTCCTTAGAACTGTCCAGAAATGCCTAGCACATGCAAGGCCCTGAGTTCAATCCCCAGTAAATAAATAAATACATAATCAAAAGAACTGTCCAGAAATGCTAGAACATAGTGAATTCACTGTCTCTGTCTCTGGGAAGATATTTGGTACCACCTTTCTTTGGCAGTACTGGAGATTGACAGGGCCTTGCGCATGTTAGGCAAGCGCTTTACCACTGAGCTGGATTCCCAGCCCAGAACTTTCTTTCTTCAAATCTTCTATACGACCTCCTACCTTAGCTGATAACTTCATCTCCATGAGGAAAACCCCTCATGATGCTGCTGTACCTCTTATCTGAGCCCATCTGCAGGCCCCCCGCCTCCCACCAGTGTGGGTGTCACATGGTCCCCTGCCTCCTACCAAGGTCAGGGTCTCTTCTATTTCAGATTCAACCCCTTCTTCCTCTTGGGGACCTCATTCTTTTTTTGTATCCTCTTTTTTGGTTTATTGCTAGTTTCATAAAAAATACTCTAATCTCGTGACTTTTTAAATATTTATTTTTAGTTATAACAATATTTTTATTTTATTTTTATGTGGTGCTGAGGATCCAACTCAGTGCCTCATGCATGGTAGGCGAGCGCTCTACCTCTGAGCCACAACTCCAGTCCTCTAATCTCACAACTTTAAAAACAAGACCCTATCTTGCTTTTACATTTCTGTATATCTTATTAGTTTTCCTAATTAGTTATTCTCTGCAACCTTTTAGCAAAACTTGCAGAGATGGCTTGTCTTGTTTCTCCTCCCCCCTTTAGTCTGCGTCCTCCTCATTGTCTCACTGAAAGGCTCATCAAGGACAAGATCATGTTTTCACCCTCATCTTATTGATCCTATTAGAGCAAGGGGTTTTCTCCAACCTTACCTCCTGTCCTGTTTGGTGATTATTCCCCAGTTTTTAACTATGGCCAAAGTCACTCTTCCAAGCCTCAGAAATACCTGCAACTACCTACCCAACATCTTCTCTTGATATCTCTTAGCCGTCCTGGTCTAAAAACAACCAAAATAGAACTCTGGGTATCTCCTCCTTTCCATCTCTCCACATGTCTCTCCATTGGTTTCCTAAGCTCCACATCTCGGAGCCACCCTTGTTTCTCTCTCTGCCTGTCCTCCAGGGCACCAGCAGCCCTGCTGGCTTCACCTCTGATGTCAGCATCACATCCACCCCCCCTCACCCCTGTCCACTGCCCAGTCACGCCTGCCCAAAGCCTCCCTCCTGCTTCTGTTCTCATCTCCCTTCCTCCCGGCTTCCCCTTGCCCTTCAGATGAAGTCAGGCCCGAGGCCCTGTCTGACCTGGCCTCCCTCAGCCAAAAAAATGCCAATTTCAGTTCCAAGAAAATATCCAGTGCTTTTCCCTTTTCCCCCTTCAAGCCTTTGTGCTTGGTGCTTCTTTCCCCAGCTCTAGGCTGCTCTCTCTGGTCAGGCCTGGCCTCCTCAGAGTGGCTGCTCTCCTGTCCAGAGCTGTCCTGCCTGTGCTCTCCAGAGCTCCGACTGCTGCCTTGATGCAGTGCTGCTTCTCCACTGCATGGTGGCCCTGGGAGCTGAGCGCACCTTAATCACTCCTTCCTAGTACAGTGAGCAGCAAACAGTGGTTATGCAACAGGGGTTTGGGGAATGAGAGTGGATGCAGGAATGTGTGTTTTCCCTTTGGTATTTCTAATGGACACATAGGATTCCATTGCACAAATGTAACCTGATTCACTTAACCACTGCTCTACTATTGGATATATTTGTTTCCGATTTTTTCACTACAGAAATATGAGACATAATTTAAAACACTACTGGGAATATTGACTAAACCATGGACTATTATGCAGAAACCATTTTTATTAATGCAAAAAAATGACTATGTGAAGTGAAAAAAACACAATACAAAATTATATATACAACAGGATCTTAAAAGCACACAGAAAAACCTAATCAGAAATAAGCTAAAATGTTAATTAATCATCTCAAATTGGCAGGATTACAGATGATTTTTATTTATTATTATTTTTAAGTATCTAAATAATGCATGGTATTTTCTTCTTTATAATTTTCTGTGTTTTTCAAGTTTACTGCAGTGAGTATGTGGGTGTTAGCTTGTTACTCAGGGGTGCTGTACCACTGAGCTACATCCTTAGTCCTTTTATATTTTATTTTGTTTTTTATTTTGAGACATGCTCTCACTAAATTGCTGAGTCTGGCCTCAAACTTGTGATCCTCCTGCCTTAGCCTTCAGAGTCACTGGGATACAGGTGTACCCACTGTGCCCGGCTTCCTTTTCCATTCTCTTCACTTAAGAGTGGATTTGCCAAATGCTACATGATTCAGGACAGATTGATTGCAAATGCATCTAGGAGAATCCAGCTGTCTTCTGTGGAGCCAGACATTAAGGAGGCCTGCAAAAATGCAAAACACTGCTAATCTCCATAAGATTTCTTTCTTTGTGTGAGTATATGTGTTACTGAGGATTGAACCCAGGGACACTCTACCACTAAGCTGCATTTCCAAACCTCTTTCTTTTTTTTCTTTTTCTTTTTTTTTTTTTT